CCCCCCCCCCCTCCCTCATAGTTCTCCCTTAAATGTGTTCCTCAATAGCCATCTGTGATCCTAAAATATTGTAAATTAGTTGATATAACAGATATTTGATAGATTCAGTGCTCAGTGGTAGATAAATATCTACAATTGGGATTTGAAAAGACAGCTCAGGCCTGGGCAATGGAGGAACCAACAACTAGCTTTCTGACAGGGTTGTGGTGTAGAGGAAGTTAAACGATCATCTCACAAATCCTCATGGAATCCTGCAGAATGTGTCACTACATCTCGGTGGAGAAGAGGTCTGAACTGAGACTCTGCGCTATCTGGGAACCATCACTCAGTGGGAATTACAGCTCTAAAAAAATCAAAAATATTAGGGAGGTGAAAATAGTGTGTGTGTGAGATAGAGCGCACTGCAAGCTTCATGGGGATACAAAATTCTATGTCCCGGCCCTAAAGAACACCCTAGGAGCGGACACATCTATATGAAACTGCTCATGGCGGTCATGCGGTGTTTAGATTGGGATGATGTGCCGGCTGGTCCATATGACCGGGCACTTCAGGAGGCAAGAACCCTCCTCACAGTAGATGAGGTAACACCGCCAAAAGGTTATTGGCCAATGGCTAAAGTCCATCCTACATCCATACTATAAAATTATGGCCTGAAAAATGAACATTGTAAAGCCGACTGTACACCAGAAGAGTTTTGTTCGAAAAAATACCTTTACGAAAGGGCAGAAGTGAAATAGGTAGACGGGCACTCGATTCGAATCCCCAAGGACAGCGCAGGAGAGGCAGAGGCTCCTGGCAGGGAAGCCTATATAATGATATCCTATAGGCAGACCCAGAGGCTCCTGGCAGGGCAGCCTATAAGATGATATCCTATAGGCAGACCCAGAGGCTCCTGGTGGTGAAGCCTTTATGATGATATCCTATAGGCAGACCCAGAGGCTCCTGGCAGGGAAGCCCATAAGATGATATCCTATAGGCAGACCCAGAGGCTCCTGGTGGCGAAGCCTTTATAATGATATCCTATAGGCAGACCCAGAGGCTCCTGGTGGTGAAGCCTTTATGATGATATCCTATAGGCAGACCCAGAGGCTCCTGGCAGGGAAGCCCATAAGATGATATCCTATAGGCAGACCCAGAGGCTCCTGGTGGTGAAGCCTTTATGATGATATCCTATAGGCAGACCCAGAGGCTCCTGGTGGTGAAGCCTTTATGATGATATCCTATAGGCAGACCCAGAGGCTCCTGGTGGTGAAGCCTTTATGATGATATCCTATAGGCAGACCCAGAGGCTCCTGGTGGTGAAGCCTTTATGATGATATCCTATAGGCAGACCCAGAGGCTCCTGGTGGTGAAGCCTTTATGATGATATCCTATAGGCAGACCCAGAGGCTCCTGGTGGTGAAGCCTTTATGATGATATCCTATAGGCAGACCCAGAGGCTCCTGGTGGTGAAGCCTTTATGATGATATCCTATAGGCAGACCCAGAGGCTC